ATAATAGTACAATGGAATTTTATGAACGACATTCTAGTTAGTTTGATTTCAATTGAATTTAATTCGGCTCTCTTAAATCAAAATTACTCTCATAATAAATTTATCACCTGAGACAAACAGATAATCAACGACTACAACTATAAAATAAGTAGCAATAAATTAAAGAAAATCACTACACATTATAAATGCTAACTGTTATGATTTAGATTAATTTAACTCATCATAACAAATGCTAAAATAAACCAGACTTTATTATTGAACATTATGCAAAGTTTTAAGAAATATTATGAAAGTTTTAGTTAAATAAATAATGTCAATGACATAGGTTAATTAAAATTACTTTATAAATGAAATATCATCATCAAAATAAAAACAAATTGTGCATTACAAATTTAGAGCTAAAAAGTTATCAAAAATTCGCATCTTTCGAAGATTTCAGCAACTTTATCTGATTTTTATCAAAAATGACCAGAATATTAAATTACAGTAAGATTAAAGCAAGGAAGCACTAAGGTAATTCAAGATTCAACAGCTGGACAAAGAAAACAATGCTGAATATAAACTAATGCAAAACTCAAACAGTATTATCAACGATCTAAGTATTCATTTCTCCTACAGTTTCAAAAAAAAGAAACAAAACCAATTCAATTAGAAAGTTGAAACAGACTAACGTAATGTTTAATAAATTAATTGAATACTAAATTTATTCATCTGCAATCATTTAAATCTTAGCAAAACTGTTCCGGATCTATTATACTTATAGAATGGAAAGATAAACTTAAATCAGATAACTGATTTGCTGTATCAAAAATACATTTGGAAAAGGATTGTCAGTAACGCTTTTAGAAATAATCTTTTTATAAAATTTCAAAAAGAAAATCAAAGAAAATAATAATTTGTGAAAAGCGGTAAGAGCCTTAGAAATAAAGAATGTACTTTTAAAGGAAATAAGTAAAAAATATTCTAACGATTATCAGATAAGTCAATAATGCTATTATAAAAAAAAGTACAAGCGTAAATATTAGCACATAGAGAAGCAAACTGTAAAAGGAATTAACGTCCGCAAGAGGAACATCAAATTGACTTATTAAATACATTGTCGAGTAATTGCATTACTAATTTCTAACTGATTAAACCATTGGCTTTTTTATTTCTTTCCACGTAATCATATAAAAGACTCAGAATTGTAGGAAAAAAAACATGAAGCATTAGCAGTTTAAATGAATGACTGGTAAAATCCGAAATTATATAAAGTACATAATTACTCGCAATGATCTGAAATCTCTCCAATTATATAAGATATATGATTGCTGAACATAACCTAACAATGAAACGTTAACAAAATAAGTTGTCCAAATGAAAGTTATTTTTCCGAAAATACTATCCATCTAATGAACACAATTCATATTTTATAATATAGGAATACGCAAATCCATTCCAATATCGAAGAAGGAAAAGAAGTCGAACGAATAAAATTGAGATATGAAAATTTAACGAGTCGAAATGTATGCATTGACGAATTTTGAGGGGTATTAAATTTAGCGAATAAACACAGCATAGCACACCCACTAATTATCAATTTTTGCAATTTCCTTCTTTCTCTCTATTCACATATTTTTCAATCATTCCAGTCTTCTCTAAAATCTCCTTGCTCAGTTTTTTGCTTTTCGCAAAAACTGTTCCAACTGGATGCTCGAAAATTAGACATTTTCCATAGCGGCGCTACCACACAAACTGGTAATTCACAATTCTAATAATATTATTGAAGAAAATTTTTGCTGACAGCTTAATCGTGATCACATTAATTGTACAATTTCTATAAGCAGGTCCATTAAAAGGATAATTATAATTATGTTAAAATTTCTATATTTCAAGAAACCAATTATTCACAGATAAATGACATCATATTCTAACTACATCTAGCAGACAAAGTGTATCTGTCAAAACTGTATCTTATTATTTCGAAATTTTCTTACATAAGTGATAAGCATGAAATAAGGTAAGTTTAAAAATAAAATGTTCCATTTGATTTCAAATGAAATAATTTTTAGAAAAGTGAAATTAATATTTCGATAATGTCTAAAAATAAATCCTATAAAATAATTGAAGTTTCCTTCCCCTCCGCCTTACCCCTCAAAAAAAAATCAAATAAAAAAATTTCGAGTGTTAAAGAAAGTTTTTTAAACTATTTCTCTAATTCTCTAAATTTTTCTTTAATTTCTAATTAAAAGTTGATGAATTCAGTGAGAAAAAAACTCATAATATTACTTACCTAATTGCTTCCACTAAACCAATAGCTCTCTTTTCCCTAATTACATTATTAATAGTAAGAAAGAATGAATTCAAATGATGCTATAATGAGACGCTAAAAGTTGCGAGTAAAGAAAGAAACCGCAGTGAACCCGGCATATAATTTCATTGTTATAAGGTAGAAAGGAATGGAAGTGAATGACAATAACAATGAAAGCCAATACAATCAATGAAGAAGAACATTAACGGAGGTCAATCCACACAACCCCAACTCTTTGCTTATAAAGAAGCAAGGAAGAATGAGAAGAGCAAAGGTTCCATTGTTGAGGTCAAAATGCAGACATATTAAGCAACATAACACAACAGCCAGCCAGAACCGATCACCAATACCCACTACTACCACTGACCATCACAACCATCATCATCATCATCTCAACAGCCCTCACTCAATACTTTTTAATGAGATTGAAAAGAGAGAGAGAGAGAGAGAGAGGGAGAGAGGGAGTAATGATGCTAAAATGGGAACGGAAAGTGGAGTGTTATTGATAGTGGTACGAGATTCCGGAAGGACAAAAGAGAAATAAGAGGTGCGGGAGAAGGTGAATGAAAGGGCACGAAAGACAAAATGAAATCTTCCGACCATCAATGTATGATGGACATATATGAACAGAGAGAAAAGAGAGACAAAGAGAGGGAGAGAGAGGAAGAAGAACCAAAAGCCGAAATGGCCCCTTAAAGCTAAAAGTGAGCGACACTATTCGAAGATTTCATTTGATGAGATGCTTTTGTGATTTTAATGAGTGGTATTTCTATGTGGGTATATGCTCTACCTTCAACAAAAACTGTCCAGAGCACTTTAAACATCAAACCGAACCAATTTTTACACTTTATTAGAGTTCAATATATAAAGAATAGATGTGTGCATCAACTTAAAAGTTAAGCTTCTTAAATTTTCGGTTTTTCATTACTTGCAATTAAAAATGACACTTGCAGCATAATGGCCAGTTACACAGACCGTGACGTTGCTGGTCTTTAAAAATTGCAAAAAAAAATAGATCAATTTCAACAAGCAATTAATTGAAAGCCATCTGTCAGCCGATCAGCATTGAAGATCGATGAATCGGATCACAGTGCTGAAAAAATGGCATATAACTGGGAAAAAATCACAGTGGCTCTATCGGTTGTACCGTACGAGGCATTTTAATTTCGATTTCAAAAATTATAATTAAGTCGGATAATTTTCCGGCTAGCACTTGCATAAGTATCAGAGAACGTATTTGAATTGTACTTGACGTAGAAATCAGTAACATTTAGCCATCAGTTAATTACTTATCAATTAAAAGTGATTCAACGCAACCATTCAATAACCCTTTACTTGACATAACCGTTCTTCAGATACATCTGAAAATCTGCATATTCAGATATATCAAAGTATCTGATCGACAATCAAAATTGATCCCAATATGACCCGGGAAAACTATGAACGAAAGTCCAACATACATAACGTAATGATTTTACACGATGTTATGTGAATGAATGCCAAGCATTCTTCAGAATATTATTTTTGTTTGATTTTCTATAAGTAAATTGAACACTTTTCTCATTTGGCTGAAATTTTAACCACTTTTATTTTTGGTTACCCGTTATCAAGTAATAATGTCAAAGCACTACTACTATAAATCAGAATTTATCGAAAAGATGGACTAAAAGTATAAGGTTTTTGACAGACACTTTACTAAAAAATGTAAATAAATATAAACAAAATCACCCTGAAAATATACAATACAACCAATATTTTAAAGCTAGTTTTTATCATTTAAATAAATTTTTAATTTACGTATCTAGGATCAAGCTTTATCTTCTTTAAAACAATTTATCATTTATCTGCTAAGGCACTTTCGTATCAATACTGGTGTGACATTTATGCATAACTTATGGAATAAATAGTACTTTCTCCTCAAATATTTAATAAGTATAATTTTTAAAATCCCAAGTCATGGCAACAGTACTAGCTTAAATTACACTTAAGTACTAAATAAGGCACGAGATAAGTTAAGAAGAGATAATCCGTTTAACAAAAATGTTTTGCTTGAAAGGTATGTTCACCGGAAAGAAGAAATTATTTGCGAATGAAAAACAAACAAAATTACAAATAAATGTTAAAAACCAAAAATACAAATAAGACAAATCAACAACTTTAAGTGATAATATCTGAATTAAGCAAAAAAATTAAGCAAACAAATGTAAATTGAAAATTTTTAAAATGAAATGAAACAAAAATAAAACAGATATGTGAAAACAATGAAGGATAGATTCACTTTTTAAAACATGTAATATAAGAAAGCAAAGATAAGTGCGATGAAACAAATTTTGATACTAACAACGGAAAATGAGATGTAAAAAAAAATCCTGACATGTTCAACAATCTTACAAAACATGATATCCAGAACAACTATAAAACTCGGTATTTGCATGATAAAGCAAGTGAAAATTTTTTCTTAATTTGAAAGTCTGGAGAATAAAAAACATTAACAATCCCAATCGCGGATCTTTTTCATAAGTTTAGAAAGACTCCGCAATGTTTGAAGAAAAAGATAAAGAAAGCTTCTTGTAAAGTACAAAACTCATCACAGCAGTCCAAAAAAATTTCGACTAATGAAGAAAAAAGCGATCAGTAATAATAGTGGGAATAAATTCCTCGAACTCATAAAAAGCAAAATACTAATAAATTGATGAAATTATACAAGAAATCATATTGGTAACCAATTCTTTAATCTTAATCCTTGGTTATCACAGAAATGGTCGGTATAGGGTATGCAATTGAAATATTCGCAATACACGCAACTGAAACCGGATGACCAATAAAAGATAGCCAATAGAACGATGAATAAACCAAGTGCAGTGGAAAGTGATGTGACCACAATTATTAGTCGTTGCGCACGATTATGACGCTTTGTTTGAATATACGGAAGTACAGCTAAAAATTTAATCCTCAGATGCATACTAGAAATGCATTTATTTTCCAATTAATATATTCCAAATAATTATAGATGGTGCGAATTGTATGATGAGTTTTGATTATGGAAATTATAGCATGCAAATGTGACTCGGCACATTATAACAAAAAATGGACGTCTCAATAACATTAAAGAATGTGTAGACTACATAAAAAAAAGTACAACATGAAATATATGCAATTAATGGATGCATCATGTTTTGATGTTTCTAAATTACGTAAATTAGAAAATCAACACACAAATAGCTCGAAGTAGACTTCAATGTTTAAGTCTTAAGAAAAATTCGGGTAAATAGTAGCCCAGATAAAAAATCTATTTTTTTGTTATAAAATCATGTTAAATATTGTGGTATTTCAAATTCGTACAAAAAAATTGGTCCAAATTTCGAATCTTAAATCAGACTAACTCACCTAAAGATATCAAAATTCCGAAGATGAAGCCGAACAAATGTGCCCAATTATCAATCCATGGCAATGTTCCTAGAGCAAAAAGCGCTAGAGTAAATAAACTCAGCTGCATTACTGCTTGCCAAGGTCTTTCCAGGAGATTCCTAAAACATATTAACTGATAAGCATTAAGAATGTAAGTAATGAGTTCAAAATTGCAAATTTAATGCGTTTTAAAAGCTATGAAAAAGAAAGTTTTTACCAGCTATAAAGCACATCGACATACATCGTGGCAAACATTCCAATATGTGATCCTGCTGGACCAACTTCTGGCTGAAATATTCATCACATTTTTACTTCTGAAAATTAATATATGAATTCCAACATCACAGTACCATCTAATGATTTTGTTGTTTTAAAACTGACTAAGCTTTACTATTCGATTATTCGACTAATCTGAATAATACTGTTTACATGTAATTTACTTACCTTATAAGGAACAAAAATTGCACTCGCCAAATACCCACCAATACCAGATACCATATAAAGAAGTGCTATGCGTGCCCATCCAAGCAATTTTTCCAAATCTCTCATGTATAGAATTTGAATAAAAACTGTTAAAATACAATGAATTATCCTGGAAAACGAAAAATTTGCGCAAACATGACCAAAAAAAAGGTTTGCACTTATTTGTCACCAAAATTTTGAATAATCGCATTAAGCAAAAATAAATATCAAAAAATAACCCTGCATGTAGGAAAAGTGGTATAAACAGACGATACCACTGATCTGGCTGATTTTTTCGCAAAAATGGAAGCATTCCACATATTTCACCCAAACATGATACCTGTAATAAATTCATATCAGCGTTCCATCAACCGTTTAAATTCTGCGACATTGGAATTATCATGCTGAAAAACCAATGACCAAAAAATTAAGGCCACTCAAAAGGTAAAACTATTTGACAGTGATCTAAATCTCGCTCTGTTTTTCGTCATGCTTCTCTGAGATAAACATAAGAGATGAAGGATTCAATCTGAGGATTAAATGAATAATTAATGCTGACTTTATCTATTGTTCTCGTTAAATAAATTTTGATTTGAAAACTATTGTTATTATTATTTGTATTTCTTTTATTTTAATATTAACACATCTTTTGGCGAACATAATCAATAATTTTTTTCCCAGATCATGCATAAAAAACTGTTTGGAATCATGATCCCAGGCTATTATAAATGTAGTAAAAAAATAGTAGTAAGTAGTAGTAGTGATAACGAAGGCAACATTACCTGTGAACAAAGTGTTGCATTTTCATGAAAATATCCTTCCACAAAATCGCAATAATCTCTGGTAGTTATACGACATTGTCCATGTAACTGTATGCAGCAAGGTCGACCAGTGATTTCACATTGCATGTGCATCATATTCTCGGGTACAAAAGGTGTTGTGTATTTGCATATCTACCGAAAATCGAATATTTAAATACACTGCTCATTTGTCAATAACTATTTTCACATAAAAACACCAATTATCAATGATTTGCTGCTCCGCCATGTTAATCATTAATTTTTAATTTCGTCATGTCCAAACATATAATAATGTAACAAAAGTAATAAACTTACAGGCCACTGCGTCATATCATCCGGCCATTCATACGGCTTCACGGAAACTGGATCCTCGCAATATCTGTATCACTTGACTTTGATTTTTTAAACATATTCACGGAAATATACCGACATCTGATTAAAAATGATTAAAAGCAATTCATAAAGCATACCTCGGATCTTGACCACAAACAGCGCCCGATACACGACCTTCTGGACCCAGACTGCCTTTCTTCCACCTTGCTAATGTGGCTATCAATGACTAAAAGTTGGGAAGATTAAGTAGCTGATTAAGTAATAAACAAAGTTCGCATTTCTCTCATTAAAATATTTTTCTTTAAAATATTACTCACCCATTGGTGTTAAACATCATTGCATTGCTCTTAAAATTCTCATAATTACTACATTTTTTTTCGTTTGCGCGTTTTTTTATTCTAGTGCAGCAAAAACATTTCTCTTAGACGGTGCTTTACTGAGTTCTACCGGAAAAAGATTCTAAATGAAATAAAAAGAGCAGCAAGGATAAAAACTTTATGAGCAATATAAGCGTATGAATAACTGAGACCGGGAAAGCTGTAGTGAGAAAAGTATTTTTAATAAAAAATAAGATAAATTTATTAAAGAGCAGAGTATCTGAATGCCTTTAATCCATAACATGTCGTGAATTTCAGTGAGACTAAAGTCATCATATTGGTTTCGGAGCGTTTGATAATATTAACACAAAATTCAATGGTTATAAAAAACTAACTACAAAACAACGATTCGCCAGATAAAAAAATCACTGCATAAGTGGTAATATAATAAATTGCAAAACATACTGGGCAAGTAGTTTGTCCAGTTTGGAAGCAACCAGTACCATCATTATAAATACAACAGCCGGTTTCATTTTCTTCCTTTTGATCAGCTTCAATTTGTTCAAAAATTCTTCGATCTTTACGCATACAAGGCGTAAATTTGGCACCCAGATGTACCAAATCAGCCTCAAAATTCAGTGAAATGTACAACATATATTTTTCATACAATAAAAATAATTTGTTGGTTGACCTAATTTTCAAATTAGTTCAGTCCATAATTGCTGCTAAAATAAGGTGACAGAAGTTTCACATAATACGTGACGATTACACGTGATCCTAATAATAATAGCTCGTGATAAAACTTGTCTAAATAGACCATTTATTTTTAAATAAAATATTTAATAGCCAATTTACTGATGCATACTTTTCTAGCTTTTTTCGATTGTGTAACCTTGAATTTTTGTAAGAATTGAATCCAACAATCAAAAATTCAAAAGAAGATTAAATATCGAAACAATTTCCATAATTGAAAAATAAAAACAATTAATTTAGACTTACAAATTTCGGTCCAAGCCAAATATTCTGCTGCACATAAATACTGACTCTTTTCAAAGTAACAGTGGTATGCAGCACATCAGCTGTTTTTTCTGTAAGACCGAATCCCCAAGGACCAATTCCATAAGTGTACAAACTAATTACAGTAACGAGTATTTGAACTGTCGTGATCCAATAAGTAAAGAAAGGCCTGAAAATAAGACAAGTGAATAAATTTTTTTAATTTTCTGGACACGAATCATATTTTAACTTAAGCCCTTTTGCACAATTCTTGATCACTTTAAAACCAAACTACTTGATGGTAACTTCAGATTACTTTAAATAAACGAGATCAACTTCAATTCATTTCAAATCAATTCCACTAATCAAACATACCTGCAATCAATGTAAGTATCTTCATTCAGCTGATAAACATCCTTCTTATAGCTTCGTTGAAAATATTTTCGCCATATTCCATAACCACCTCCAAAACGCTGACGATGCGAAACACAATACTTTTTTGATTTCAGCTCATTGTGTATCTAAAAATATCATAATTCATATGAAAAAAAGTAGTATATTTTTTTAGTCACAAGGTGTAAGTTATTTTTCTTCTTTCAATTATAGGTGGAACTTCAATTATCGATATTGGATCCTCCGTTTCAACATCCATTATTACACAAAAGTGAAAGAACTTTCTATCATCTTTTAAATATTTAGCATGTGAAACGAAATAAGCGCCTATAATTTTATCAATTTTCAATAAACGAAGCAGATATTGTTGATAAAGCAACATAAGCAACATTTTAATTAAATGGAACTCACATCCAACAGCAATCTTCTTCGCACATTTCTAAATGTTTCTACAGTTCCCTTCGTCTTTTTCTCATCAACAGCTTGAATGCATTGCAACCATTCCTAAAATGACATAAAACAATCTAACTCCGAAAACTTCTGGAAAGTGTCATATAAGCCTTTACTTTAGAAAAAACTTACTTTCGGACTCGAAAAAGCATTGCGCAATGATGTAGACGCTGCTGATTTCTCCTGGAAAATAATTAACTTATTATGCAAAGAAATAAGACAGAAACTAGACAATATTTAATTCCACAAAAATTCCACAAATATTTTGTAGATCCTTCTCATTAACTTTTAAACTTTAGAAAGAGACGCAAATTCTTTAAATCGAATAAAAATAAACAAATGGCCAAGAAAAACATAACGAATTATTTTAAGGATAAGTTTCTGTTTCATCGTGAACAAATCACATTTATTTGCTAAGCAGCGGAAGTGATAGTTAAGTACTGAAATCGTTTCCTCTCCAGCTAGCTTATTTTTTTGATACTCATTTCTATATGATAAAAAATAAGATTAATGGATAGAATAAGAGTGATTTAGGAAGTACGAAAAAAATATGTTCGAAATCAGTAAATGTTTCCCCACTGTTATCAAAGCATTTCTCTTCCAAATGTCTGACCGCATGCCGCACTTGTTAAAAAATAAGCAAGTCATGAAATAATGAAAAGAGAAAAAGACGAAAAAGAATAGAAAACTCGGAAAACAAATTCACTATAGACATGCTGAAACACTTCACTGAGGAGACCAAAAAAAAATTAGATCAACACAACAACGACTAAGATCTATGTACAAAGACTAATACGACCAGCGACTTGGAATCAAATTAATGTATAAACAAGGATAAGAAACAAACAATATTTTGGTGACTATTTAGTTGCATAAATTATGTGCTTTACAAAAATACCTGATTTGGAAGTCATTAGCTCCTGATTAATCCAAAATTATTTATTTTTTGAAAAATACGAAATAATTTTCTGCTTAATTTGATTGGGTTTAAGTATGTCTTTAAAAATATCGGCAGGAAATTAAAGCACTTGTACAGCTTATTTTGGAATTACTTCGTTTTTGAAACGCTGCTTCACTGCATTAAATTTCAGATTACGCCTGCATAAGTAGCTTCACAAAACTATTCCAAAACACATGAAGAATCTCTTAAAATTCTGTAATTAATTCTTTACCTCTCTCGAACATTGTAGCTGTATTTCCCGCACTTGAGGCCCATCGATTTTGCGTGTTCTTTCATGTACATTTCCATCGTCTTCCACTGGATCGTCTTCGGAATAAAACTTAAAGACAGCGAATAATGAAATTTGTGATAAATGTAACGAGATAAAACACATTCAATAAAACTTCCAAAAATCATTATTTATTTAGATGTCAAAAAATTTGTTTTAATTCAAAATTAAGTTCTGAAAAGATTTTTGAGATCCAAAAAAATCTCATAAAAATTTCATCTACCTAGAATTGGATTATTTCCTATTGAAGAGCTATCGAAATTCAATTAATATATGCAAAAACAACACAGAGAATTACCTTTTTATATTTTATCACAGATGGAAATTTCTCGTCACGCATTCCTTGACAACGATGCATTCGCAAGGAATTCGTTTGCTCTTCTAATAAAAGCAGAAAAATTTTTAAATTTTATTTCAATTTCTACCCTCGCTTATTACCATATCAATTCATTTTCTTACTAGAACTGGCGAAAGATTATTTATTCTGTAAACTATTAACAGAAATTATGCTTTACACTAACAACACAGGCTTTCCTGGATACCAATCTAACTGATTATAAAATACAATCTAATTTACTTATCATTTATTTTTCTTCAAATTTCAACTCTATCACCCATTCAAAATTTCTAACTTTTTAACAAAAAAAAACTTAAAATTTTTAACAAAATTTCTAACTATTTCTAAAAAATGATAGTTTAAGCTGATAATCCATTACATTCTCCTTTATTTTCTAATTTGATCTCATAAACCTCAATAAAAAACTATTCATGATATATAGAGTTGTGCTAATCCACTATTTCACAAAGCATAAAGTGAATATGAAAATCATTAAACAATTGCTCAATTGTTACAAGAACAGACGCGCTTCATTTGCAACAATGTTGCTTTTTTTCAAGTGCAAAATGGTAGTATTCCTGAACATAGAAAAAAATTCTTTAAAAAAAAAACATACAAATAAAATAAAAGTCATAAATTAAAATATGCAATCAAAAAATACCTCGTTCGGTATCGGAAATATCCGATAAAACTGTCGGTGAAGCATAATCAAAGAATACTTCGTCCTGTATAGACTCTATACTTGATAACGGTAAAGAATCCTTCAAATACCCTACAATTAGCATAAAATGCTCATCCCTATTGATTGAATATATTTCACCTTCTGCTTTATCATGCTTTTTTTTGGAAATTTTCCGAAAGTTCAAAAATTTTGGATCAAAATTTAAAATGAGACTTCTTGAAAATGTTCCACAAACAGTGTATGTATATTAAAATCTTAATGTATTTTCAATATTATTTGTCAAACTTTGTTTCTACTAATCTAAGATTTTAAGAATCACAATAAACTTATGCCTTTTTTTCCACCGCTTCATGTTCAATAATAGGTTCTTGAACTTGTGTTCTCACAACAGGAATTATAGATGTATTATATTTTGCTAACTCTGAAGACAATAGAGGTTTTGTCTGACCAATAACTTCCTTAGAAAGTGCAACATGTGCAACAGCTTCTACGTCTGACAGAAAATGAATTGCTGTGCGATTCTGAAAACTGATTGTCCTGATTCAGTTCATCAGTTCGGAACAGACTTTAATCTATGCCAAAAAACATGATATCGATACTTTTGGAATAAACATTCTGAACAAAATTCAAAGTACTCACCTTTTTAGGTAAATATACTTCAATTTCTTTTTCATTCTGCTTTTTAGGATCACCCGTTGTATTCACAAATTTATGACTTTCAAATTCAACTTCCGGAACTGTAGGCATACTTTTTGCTATAAAAATAAATATGATAGATTATTGAGAAGCATTAAATTTAGTAAAATGAATGAAAATATAAATTTTGGTTAATATGAGAAACAACTGAAATTTCAAAGTCACATATACTACTTTTTAAGAGTTTCGAGAAGTGATCGGAAAATTCTGAAGCTATAATGGAAGAATTACCTAATTTCAATGTCATGATATGCAATATTGAAAAGTAAAATGAAGCAAACGAAGATTTCTTGAGCTCGAATCGGAGATAAATAATATTCAAGAAAGTTTGCTGGTAGAAATTAAGAAATATAAAATTTCTTTGCAGATTGATATAGATAATACACTTGACATTCTATAAAATTCAGTTGAAACATTATTCTCACCAACGAAGGTGTCCGCAGTCGGTCCAATTCTGATACTGGTAATGTTCCCAGTTTGCTGAATGGAAAATGGTGCAAAACTGCCAGACACTCGTTTCACCGCAGCACAAGCCTTTTTTGGTTTTAACGTCCCTCTTAAAAAAGAAAATAAACTGGAAATTATGAAGAAAAATATACAACTGATGATACAAATCCTAGCTTTTAAGCTGTTCCCGAATATTGTACATCAAAACGTTTAAAAAAAGAAGGAAATGTAATATGATTCAATTCCTATTATATAGTATAAGAAATAGATAAAGTTGCATATACCAATTTAATGATAAAATGACAATTTTAGCAATGCATCCGGTAAAACCAAAAACTAAATTCAATATTATAAATATGATTGAAAAATTAGAATTACAACCTCTGTACTACTGAACAAATCCTATCGCAAACCATTTTCATAACACTGTCACGTCGTTCCAAGTGTTGCTGAGTAAGCCGGCTTGTACGGCTTTCTACCGATTTGCTTCTAGAAAATATTTCCTGAAAATGACATTGTGTAACAAAATTAAAAAATAAATCCTTCTTGAGGGAGTTTTTAAAGAATTAAAGGATTCAAGTTATAGCTTTTGTAGTTCCTCTACTATATTGTTTTAAAACTTACAGCAGTATCAACCGCAGGGGGCATAAATACAGCATCACGTATTTCGCTCTGAGGTGTAATACTCTTTGATGGTGATGGAACATCGCTCAGATCATCCAGAACTAAAGCCACATCCACATTATCATCATTTCTATCGTAATAATTTTGAAATATTTAAATCCCACAACCAGCATTCAAATTCCCGAAATTTAAAAAATAATATTTGCAAATGTCAGACTGAAAAAACTGAAATTCACGAATAAAGTTATAAATTGATCAAATTATTTCTTGCTTCGACTTTTGCCTACAAATAAATTTTCAACTGCAAATTATATTACTTAAAAAACAGCTGTTATATGTTATCCTGAATAAAACCATTGCTAAGCCTATCATTTCATAAATACGATCACCCCAAACACATATATTCAAATGATGATTAGTAAAATTATAACATACTTTGTGGCCTTAATTCTCTGGTTAATATATCTTCTTTAGGATTCCCATAATGTTTACAGATAAACCGTAGTCGACGGCAACTCCATTTCTGATCGACAAGTCCATCAGCTGATGACTGACAATTTTCTGACGATGGAACTCCGAAAAACTTTGCTGTCCCGTTTGATATCGTGTCTCGAATACTGAAATCATTGAGTTTTTTACTCGATATAGCCTTTCACGTCCAAACTTTAATTAGAAATTTATATCAAGATTTCTTATTATCTGCAAGAGACTAAGATATTTTGAAAATTCTAAAATATGTTAATTGTGTCAAATTTATTCCTCAAAGACATATTTAAAATAGTTTAACGTTTATACAGCAAACATGAATGAAATTATTTCAATATAAAAAAATAAAGACTTAGATCAATTCAAGTTTCGCAGAATACCCAAAAATTTGAACGAAATTGTACGTTATTTCTTTCTGACAAAAATTCATTTTGAAAGAGAAAAGATAACGAATATGATGAGATGGAAAAAAATTGAATGTTTTTCTCCAAAAAAAAATACATAAAACCATAAAAAATGCTCTTAGAAAAAAAAGATGAAATTGAAAAAGCGAAAAAATAACAGCTTACCTTTGTGCACGACTTAAAGGTCGGTAATTTCCGGATTCCTTTAACGAATTAGAAGATGATGAAAGAAACTGTATGTCCTAAAATTTATTTAAAATATAGAAAAATAATAATTTAGTTATCTGAAGTTATATTTTAAATTATATGACTATAATTGACAATATTACTGATAATTCAGTATTTATTCATTTATGTGTTTTTCCAAAGGCGTACTACATAAAATAAACTAAGAGCAATTAATAGAGTGCAAAGGTTTCGCCCTTCACGAAAATCTGTCATCACTTGAATTGTATGCATTAAATATGTTTGATAAAGATTTAAATGCATATACCACTGATGAAGGAATGAAGTAATCTGCTGGAGTGCTCAAACTTTTCATAAGCTTCTGCTGCATCGGCTTTGAACTCATACCTTCCGACGCATTACCATCATCCCTTGCAGTAATACTCTTCAGTGGCAGTGAGAGACGGGAACGATCTGGCTCACCAGACATTTTCCCTTTTCAATTTCCTGGCACTGAAAATATTCTCGAAAATATTATACTCCTAATCAAATGATTAGAGAGTGATCAGCGCAATTTATTTGATATATATATATATATATATATATATCAAATAAATTGCGCTGATCACTCTCTAATCATTTGATTAGGAGTATAATATTTTCGAGAATATTTTCAGTGCCAGGAAATTGAAAAGGGAAAATGTCTGGTGAGCCAGATCGTTCCCGTCTCTCACTGCCACTGAAGAGTATTACTGCAAGGGATGATGGTAATGCGTCGGAAGGTATGAGTTCAAAGCCGATGCAGCAGAAGCTTATGAAAAGTTTGAGCACTCCAGCAGATTACTTCATTCCTTCATCAGTGGTATATGCATTTAAATCTTTATCAAACATATTTAATGCATACAATTCAAGTGATGACAGATTTTCGTGAAGGGCGAAACCTTTGCACTCTATTAATTGCTCTTAGTTTATTTTATGTAGTACGCCTTTGGAAAAACACATAAATGAATAAATACTGAATTATCAGTAATATTGTCAATTATAGTCATATAATTTAAAATATAACTTCAGATAACTAAATTATTATTTTTCTATATTTTAAATAAATTTTAGGACATACAGTTTCTTTCATCATCTTCTAATTCGTTAAAGGAATCCGGAAATTACCGACCTTTAAGTCGTGCACAAAGGTAAGCTGTTATTTTTTCGCTTTTTCAATTTCATCTTTTTTTTCTAAGAGCATTTTTTATGGTTTTATGTATTTTTTTTTGGAGAAAAACATTCAATTTTTTTCCATCTCATCATATTCGTTATCTTTTCTCTTTCAAAATGAATTTTTGTCAGAAAGAAATAACGTACAATTTCGTTCAAATTTTTGGGTATTCTGCGAAACTTGAATTGATCTAAGTCTTTATTTTTTTATATTGAAATAATTTCATTCATGTTTGCTGTATAAACGTTAAACTATTTTAAATATGTCTTTGAGGAATAAATTTGACACAATTAACATATTTTAGAATTTTCAAAATATCTTAGTCTCTTGCAGATAATAAGAAATCTTGATATAAATTTCTAATTAAAGTTTGGACGTGAAAGGCTATATCGAGTAAAAAACTCAATGATTTCAGTATTCGAGACACGATATCAAACGGGACAGCAAAGTTTTTCGGAGTTCCATCGTCAGAAAATTGTCAGTCATCAGCTGATGGACTTGTCGATCAGAAATGGAGTTGCCGTCGACTACGGTTTATCTGTAAACATTATGGGAATCCTAAAGAAGATATATTAACCAGAGAATTAAGGCCACAAAGTATGTTATAATTTTACTAATCATCATTTGAATATATGTGTTTGGGGTGATCGTATTTATGAAATGATAGGCTTAGCAATGGTTTTATTCAGGATAACATATAACAGCTGTTTTTTAAGTAATATAATTTGCAGTTGAAAATTTATTTGTAGGCAAAAGTCGAAGCAAGAAATAATTTGATCAATTTATAACTTTATTCGTGAATTTCAGTTTTTTCAGTCTGACATTTGCAAATATTATTTTTTAAATTTCGGGAATTTGAATGCTGGTTGTGGGATTTAAATATTTCAAAATTATTACGATAGAAATGATGATAATGTGGATGTGGCTTTAGTTCTGGATGATCTGAGCGATGTTCCATCACCATCAAAGAGTATTACACCTCAGAGCGAAATACGTGATGCTGTATTTATGCCCCCTGCGGTTGATACTGCTGTAAGTTTTAAAACAATATAGTAGAGGAACTACAAAAGCTATAACTTGAATCCTTTAATTCTTTAAAAACTCCCTCAAGAAGGATTTATTTTTTAATTTTGTTACACAATGTCATTTTCAGGAAATATTTTCTAGAAGCAAATCGGTAGAAAGCCGTACAAGCCGGCTTACTCAGCAACACTTGGAACGACGTGACAGTGTTATGAAAATGGTTTGCGATAGGATTTGTTCAGTAGTACAGAGGTTGTAATTCTAATTTTTCAATCATATTTATAATATTGAATTTAGTTTTTGGTTTTACCGGATGCATTGCTAAAATTGTCATTTTATCATTAAATTGGTATATGCAACTTTATCTATTTCTTATACTATATAATAGGAATTGAATCATATTACATTTCCTTCTTTTTTTAAACGTTTTGATGTACAATATTCGGGAACAGCTTAAAAGCTAGGATTTGTATCATCAGTTGTATATTTTTCTTCATAATTTCCAGTTTATTTTCTTTTTTAAGAGGGACGTTAAAACCAAAAAAGGCTTGTGCTGCGGTGAAACGAGTGTCTGGCAGTTTTGCACCATTTTCCATTCAGCAAACTGGGAACATTACCAGTATCAGAATTGGACCGACTGCGGACACCTTCGTTGGTGAGAATAATGTTTCAACTGAATTTTATAGAATGTCAAGTGTATTATCTATATCAATCTGCAAAGAAATTTTATATTTCTTAATTTCTACCAGCAAACTTTCTTGAATATTATTTATCTCCGATTCGAGCTCAAGAAATCTTCGTTTGCTTCATTTTACTTTTCAATATTGCATATCATGACATTGAAATTAGGTAATTCTTCCATTATAGCTTCAGAATTTTCCGATCACTTCTCGAAACTCTTAAAAAGTAGTATATGTGACTTTGAAATTTCAGTTGTTTCTCATATTAACCAAAATTTATATTTTCATTCATTTTACTAAATTTAATGCTTCTCAATAATCTATCATATTTATTTTTATAGCAAAAAGTATGCCTACAGTTCCGGAAGTTGAATTTGAAAGTCATAAATTTGTGAATACAACGGGTGATCCTAAAAAGCAGAATGAAAAAGAAATTGAAGTATATTTACCTAAAAAGGTGAGTACTTTGAATTTTGTTCAGAATGTTTATTCCAAAAGTATCGATATCATGTTTTTTGGCATAGATTAAAGTCTGTTCCGAACTGATGAACTGAATCAGGACAATCAGTTTTCAGAATCGCACAGCAATTCATTTTCTGTCAGACGTAGAAGCTGTTGCACATGTTGCACTTTCTAAGGAAGTTATTGGTCAGACAAAACCTCTATTGTCTTCAGAGTTAGCAAAATATAATACATCTATAATTCCTGTTGTGAGAACACAAGTTCAAGAACCTATTATTGAACATGAAGCGGTGGAAAAAAAGGCATAAGTTTATTGTGATTCTTAAAATCTTAGATTAGTAGAAACAAAGTTTGACAAATAATATTGAAAATACATTAAGATTTTAATATACATACACTGTTTGTGGAACATTTTCAAGAAGTCTCATTTTAAATTTTGATCCAAAATTTTTGAACTTTCGGAAAATTTCCAAAAAAAAGCATGATAAAGCAGAAGGTGAAATATATTCAATCAATAGGGATGAGCATTTTATGCTAATTGTAGGGTATTTGAAGGATTCTTTACCGTTATCAAGTATAGAGTCTATACAGGACGAAGTATTCTTTGATTATGCTTCACCGACAGTTTTATCGGATATTTCCGATACCGAACGAGGTATTTTTTGATTGCATATTTTAATTTATGACTTTTATTTTATTTGTATGTTTTTTTTTTAAAGAATTTTTTTCTATGTTCAGGAATACTACCATTTTGCACTTGAAAAAAAGCAACATTGTTGCAAATGAAGCGCGTCTGTTCTTGTAACAATTGAGCAATTGTTTAATGATTTTCATATTCACTTTATGCTTTGTGAAATAGTGGATTAGCACAACTCTATATATCATGAATAGTTTTTTATTGAGGTTTATGAGATCAAATTAGAAAATAAAGGAGAATGTAATGGATTATCAGCTTAAACTATCATTTTTTAGAAATAGTTAGAAATTTTGTTAAAAATTTTAAGTTTTTTTTTGTTAAAAAGTTAGAAATTTTGAATGGGTGATAGAGTTGAAATTTGAAGAAAAATAAATGATAAGTAAATTAGATTGTATTTTATAATCAGTTAGATTGGTATCCAGGAAAGCCTGTGTTGTTAGTGTAAAGCATAATTTCTGTTAATAGTTTACAGAATAAATAATCTTTCGCCAGTTCTAGTAAGAAAATGAATTGATATGGTAATAAGCGAGGGTAGAAATTGAAATAAAATTTAAAAATTTTTCTGCTTTTATTAGAAGAGCAAACGAATTCCTTGCGAATGCATCGTTGTCAAGGAATGCGTGACGAGAAATTTCCATCTGTGATAAAATATAAAAAGGTAATTCTCTGTGTTGTTTTTGCATATATTAATTGAATTTCGATAGCTCTTCAATAGGAAATAATCCAATTCTAGGTAGATGAAATTTTTATGAGATTTTTTTGGATCTCAAAAATCTTTTCAGAACTTAATTTTGAATTAAAACAAATTTTTTGACATCTAAATAAATAATGATTTTTGGAAGTTTTATTGAATGTGTTTTATCTCGTTACATTTATCACAAATTTCATTATTCGCTGTCTTTAAGTTTTATTCCGAAGACGATCCAGTGGAAGACGATGGAAATGTACATGAAAGAACACGCAAAATCGATGGGCCTCAAGTGCGGGAAATACAGCTACAATGTTCGAGAGAGGTAAAGAATTAATTACAGAATTTTAAGAGATTCTTCATGTGTTTTGGAATAGTTTTGTGAAGCTACTTATGCAGGCGTAATCTGAAATTTAATGCAGTGAAGCAGCGTTTCAAAAACGAAGTAATTCCAAAATAAGCTGTACAAGTGCTTTAATTTCCTGCCGATATTTTTAAAGACATACTTAAACCCAATCAAATTAAGCAGAAAATTATTTCGTATTTTTCAAAAAATAAATAATTTTGGATTAATCAGGAGCTAATGACTTCCAAATCAGGTATTTTTGTAAAGCACATAATTTATGCAACTAAATAGTCACCAAAATATTGTTTGTTTCTTATCCTTGTTTATACATTAATTTGATTCCAAGTCGCTGGTCGTATTAGTCTTTGTACATAGATCTTAGTCGTTGTTGTGTTGATCTAATTTTTTTTTGGTCTCCTCAGTGAAGTGTTTCAGCATGTCTATAGTGAATTTGTTTTCCGAGTTTTCTATTCTTTTTCGTCTTTTTCTCTTTTCATTATTTCATGACTTGCTTATTTTTTAACAAGTGCGGCATGCGGTCAGACATTTGGAAGAGAAATGCTTTGATAACAGTGGGGAAACATTTACTGATTTCGAACATATTTTTTTCGTACTTCCTAAATCACTCTTATTCTATCCATTAATCTTATTTTTTATCATATAGAAATGAGTATCAAAAAAATAAGCTAGCTGGAGAGGAAACGATTTCAGTACTTAACTATCACTTCCGCTGCTTAGCAAATAAATGTGATTTGTTCACGATGAAACAGAAACTTATCCTTAAAATAATTCGTTATGTTTTTCTTGGCCATTTGTTTATTTTTATTCGATTTAAAGAATTTGCGTCTCTTTCTAAAGTTTAAAAGTTAATGAGAAGGATCTACAAAATATTTGTGGAATTTTTGTGGAATTAAATATTGTCTAGTTTCTGTCTTATTTCTTTGCATAATAAGTTAATTATTTTCCAGGAGAAATCAGCAGCGTCTACATCATTGCGCAATGCTTTTTCGAGTCCGAAAGTAAGTTTTTTCTAAAGTAAAGGCTTATATGACACTTTCCAGAAGTTTTCGGAGTTAGATTGTTTTATGTCATTTTAGGAATGGTTGCAATGCATTCAAGCTGTTGATGAGAAAAAGACGAAGGGAACTGTAGAAACATTTAGAAATGTGCGAAGAAGATTGCTGTTGGATGTGAGTTCCATTTAATTAAAATGTTGCTTATGTTGCTTTATCAACAATATCTGCTTCGTTTATTGAAAATTGATAAAATTATAGGCGCTTATTTCGTTTCACATGCTAAATATTTAAAAGATGATAGAAAGTTCTTTCACTTTTGTGTAATAATGGATGTTGAAACGGAGGATCCAATATCGATAATTGAAGTTCCACCTATAATTGAAAGAAGAAAAATAACTTACACCTTGTGACTAAAAAAATATACTACTTTTTTTCATATGAATTATGATATTTTTAGATACACAATGAGCTGAAATCAAAAAAGTATTGTGTTTCGCATCGTCAGCGTTTTGGAGGTGGTTATGGAATATGGCGAAAATATTTTCAACGAAGCTATAAGAAGGATGTTTATCAGCTGAATGAAGATACTTACATTGATTGCAGGTATGTTTGATTAGTGGAATTGATTTGAAATGAATTGAAGTTGATCTCGTTTATTTAAAGTAATCTGAAGTTACCATCAAGTAGTTTGGTTTTAAAGTGATCAAGAATTGTGCAAAAGGGCTTAAGTTAAAATATGATTCGTGTCCAGAAAATTAAAAAAATTTATTCACTTGTCTTATTTTCAGGCCTTTCTTTACTTATTGGATCACGACAGTTCAAATACTCGTTACTGTAATTAGTTTGTACACTTATGGAATTGGTCCTTGGGGATTCGGTCTTACAGAAAAAACAGCTGATGTGCTGCATACCACTGTTACTTTGAAAAGAGTCAGTATTTATGTGCAGCAGAATATTTGGCTTGGACCGAAATTTGTAAGTCTAAATTAATTGTTTTTATTTTTCAATTATGGAAATTGTTTCGATATTTAATCTTCTTTTGAATTTTTGATTGTTGGATTCAATTCTTACAAAAATTCAAGGTTACACAATCGAAAAAAGCTAGAAAAGTATGCATCAGTAAATTGGCTATTAAATATTTTATTTAAAAATAAATGGTCTATTTAGACAAGTTTTATCACGAGCTATTATTATTAGGATCACGTGTAATCGTCACGTATTATGTGAAACTTCTGTCACCTTATTTTAGCAGCAATTATGGACTGAACTAATTTGAAAATTAGGTCAACCAACAAATTATTTTTATTGTATGAAAAATATATGTTGTACATTTCACTGAATTTTGAGGCTGATTTGGTACATCTGGGTGCCAAATTTACGCCTTGTATGCGTAAAGATCGAAGAATTTTTGAACAAATTGAAGCTGATCAAAAGGAAGAAAATGAAACCGGCTGTTGTATTTATAATGATGGTACTGGTTGCTTCCAAACTGGACAAACTACTTGCCCAGTATGTTTTGCAATTTATTATATTACCACTTATGCAGTGATTTTTTTATCTGGCGAATCGTTGTTTTGTAGTTAGTTTTTTATAACCATTGAATTTTGTGTTAATATTATCAAACGCTCCGAAACCAATATGATGACTTTAGTCTCACTGAAATTCACGACATGTTATGGATTAAAGGCATTCAGATACTCTGCTCTTTAATAAATTTATCTTATTTTTTATTAAAAATACTTTTCTCAC